ATTAAATTTTTTTATAAATTTCTTTATATATCACACTTAGCCTAGATCAACATCAGGAGTTATACAGCATAGTAAGAATTTCACTAGAACTCTATCTTACTACAACTAAACTTAGGCTAAACTCGTTAAATTAGTTACTACTGATATCGTGGTACCAAAGTCAGATACGAGGTTCTATGGTTGAGCCTACTTCAGTAACAACCAAACGGTAGATGGAACTCAAAATTAACATATAAACAAGTGTATCATAATCAATCCGTAAGAAAAACAAACATAGAGTATATTTTTCAAGTGTTCGGTTAAGTATTAAAGAGTACATAAATTAGGAATGTAATTTAGACAAACGAAAAGTAGCCCTTTAACTTAATAGCTATCCACATTCCAACAAAACGTTAGGAGATACGAAATGGGGCTAATACAATATCTATATAACTTTTCAGTATCCAACTGTTGACAATATTCGCAAAAATCATTGATGTACCTGACTTTAAGTTGTGTGTGCGAGGATTACTATTGCAGTTGCTCCAATAGAAGTGAAGTTTAAACCTGATATTTAAGTGGTTGGAAAGCAAATGATCTAATCATTAAGCGAACAAATATTCTGTTAACTGAGGTAGAAATGTAAATATAAGCATATTCCAACTAAAATAACACAATCAGTCCTGAGAAATACAGAACCTGGTAATTACGCGCACCATAGGTTCAAGTTGCCACAACGTATAGTCAAAGCAAGATGAAGTTATCAAAACAAAAGCCAGATTAATAAAAGTAGTAACAGTATTAGTGGTAATAGGCAAAAAGCAGTAACATTTGACAAAAAGGATATTTAAATTAAAAAGTATGAGCATTTTAAAACAAAGAGTGGATGCGTCGGCGCTATTGTGAACGATCCTGAGCGATGTCATTCAACGTCTCCCACCACTGGTCACGGTTACCACGAGACCTTAATTAAACAACCCGAACCTACCAACAGGACTCAGTCTAACAGTCAGTGTCTTCATGAGCTGGTGTCATATCCCGGTTCGGTGATCTCTAGCTTTTTTCCAACCTGGTCCTACACTAGCAAACATCACGCTTCAAGGTATATCGTAGGGTTAGGCACACGTAGTACATGTCGGAAAATAGTACAATCAATCAAATTCAGGTAAACATTATTTAGATTAGTTGATCATATTTGTTTATTAGTATTTATTATTAATCTGTCTTAGAAAAAATAAAACGGTGGTTGAATAGACAACAAAATTAAGGCTATCTTTATGCCCATACTTATTACTGGATAAATAGTGAATCTGTAACTGAACAAGTAAGCAAGGAAAAACAACTGATAAATGACATCCCAGTATGTGATTAATACAGTCCAATAATTATTTTTACACACAACAACGAATTTGCCATTATCCCTCCTGTCCAAAAAAACAATAAATACTATTATTAGTTAATCACAGCGACCGGAAAGAGGACAAAATCTACTCTAATGAATATGAACACACACACACACGTACACATGTACATTAAGACAATTTCAATGATGCATTGCAAAGTTTGCCAAAGTATACATTTTAGTGGTTGTGCAATGATAAACGGATAATACAAAATACCATCACTAAATTCAGATATTTATTCATGTATGCCTTTTATTTGAAATAAATTGTAAATGTTATTTAAATAATTCCATTACGCTTAATGCATAAAATGTTGTCTTCCCTTTAGGCAAAGTTATAGAAAATCTGTGTTGCTCTTCTTAAAATTTACAATTATATGACAAATAAAACTATACACACATACATAAGTTAAACAAGAAGATAGACGATCAAATCAATGTAGGTGGATGAAGGAAGACAAAATGCTTATTCACTTTGTTAAACATAAACAACAAAACCAGTAGGAGATTGTGAATTTGTAATTTGATTACAAAACTAACATGAAATACAACGAGTGCTTATATTTTTTGCTGAATTGAACAAGAAAAAAAGAGGAATATTTATTTGAGATTGTAATAAGTAATGTTTTGAGACCTTTTTCTCGGAAAATGAGAACCTGTTCTAATTTATTCAGGAAAAAATGAAGTGTATAAATACTTTAAAGTATTTCGGTATGAAGTCTGATACATTTAGTGTTATCTGGTCGAATAAGAATATGTTATCCAGAACTTCATCTATCATGCCTTTAGAACTAGATGCTTTAGTATGGATTCAACACTTTTGATTTGATTATTTAACTACAGATTGATAGGTTGATCTGTTCAGGTCTACCAGGATGTTCACCCACTCCTCCTGGAAAGCGGACATATCTTCTGGTGGCATAGAATGACTGAACTAAACCAAATGTAACTAGAAGATAATTCAAAGGTAGATTAGACGTTAGTTGTTTACCAGATCATATACTCTCTGGGTCAAATGCTTTTCATAGTAAAAAAAGAAAGCTTACGACTTCAAACCTGTCACAGAGTAGGATTTCATGATTTCTGATGAAGAGAATTGTTGACTGTCAAAATATAAGAATGTTAGTTGATAAATGATGCTATTGCAATAATATGTTGAGGTTGAGTAGTGACCGTTACCGAGGCTGTATTGTTGATGAATGACTTGAGATCAAAGACAAGACCACTAGCCGTAATAGATTTTTCATGTAATAAAATAACATGTTTATAAGCATGACTTCATGCTTGTAATTCGTTGTTATCATCATTTTAACAGATTGTTTAATATGTGTTGCCATCCTGTTTTTGTCTAGTTTGAATAATATTGTGGTGTGTGCTACTGATGTCGACAGATATAAGTACTATGTATCATCAATTGAAAGTGAAATACTTGGTGGCAGAAGGTTAAGAAGATCGAAGAGAAAAGGACAAGAACAGAGAGTGATTGGTGTGGAAAAGAAGAGTCAGTCAATTCTGAGATAACTGAATGACATTTTGCAAATGAGAAATTTACTGTATGGTTCTCAGATTTTACTAAGAGATTTTGTAATTTTGTGTGAAATACATTTGAGTGTCCCCACTTGAGTTTTCGTTCACTAAAATATTATATATAGTTCGTGCATGCACCCTAACATCCGAATACTGTCTCAGTTTTATTACAAACTATAAGGTGGTTCTACTATCCTTAATTATTTACTTAAAAACAAAACAGTATTATGTAATTAGTTTGATGTTAATCACTATTTGATGATAATATTCAAATACAAATAGTTAGGTTTTAAAAAACTGTTTTTTTAGAAACAATTACTATTCGTTGTACATTTGAATAAATAGTAATGAAGTACATATGTACACACCAAACATTAAAAGAACTGATCAATACAAGATGGTAATGAAAAAGAAGTAATAAAATTTGTGAAATTCAACATTTTACTTAGTAGTAACCGTATGATTCTGAATTGAACTCGATTAAGATAGGATCGTTTTTATTATAGGATATTATCGATTGAAGAACCATTAAAAAGTTTAGGGAACGATAAACAACAATTTTTTTCTACATTACAACTATTCAAAAAATGTGAACCCACTATCAAACACACAGGATCACTAGGTGCACGATCGTATTATAAACACTATTCGTATGATATACTTAGGAGCTCATTATGAAACACCGACACCTGATGCAGTGAAGCTCAGGTTTACGTACTCAGCTTTGATTCATGCTGTTTGAATAGGAACTATGGATATTACTCCGTTGTTGATATTTTCGTGCACCAAAACACTATTTCGCAACTCCCACCTCAATATGGTGAACGAAACTACTCATGTTTTCACTGTTCTGCTAACCAGAGTATGGCGTCCAGTTTCGTAATTAAAGCCTTGTCGATGATGACCCCAGAAGAATTAAAAATGCATATAAGTTAATCGATTACATTATTGGTTTTAATGATTACAATTTATGAAGAGTAACTATTACTAAACATGAAGTACAATGAAAACGCATTGAACTCCCATAAATCAATGTCATGAAAATGTATTGAAAGTTGATTTTACATTCGCCAAAAATAGATAGTGGGTTTTTACTCACAAGTTGTATTTGGTAGCTTCACATACCCAACAGCTGGGCAAACCATACTAGGTGCAGCGCTATTTAAACCTGAGACCTAATATTTAAGTACAAAGCCATAGTTTCTCAACAAGAGTTCTTACCGTACAAATCTTTATTACTAGAATTTAACGTAGTTAAAAAAGGGGCATGCAACGAACAAAAAATGCATATAACTAGTTAAAAGAAAAAAGGAGTTTTAGATCCATATTTTAATAGATAAAATTGAGCTACCAGTTTCCAACGCTACCACGTAAAGTAGGTGGAATACAGCTTTTAATATTAAACTGAAATCTGGGCGCTTAGTACCTTTACAAGTTATTTTTCACTATACCACTAAATTTGTATGAACACTATGGGATTAATAGTTGACACAAATGAACATAATACTAGCTGTACAAAAGAGAAATGCCACGTTATTCATAAAGATAAGCAAAAATAGGAGAATTAGTAGAGTCTTGAAATACTTGAGGATTTTTGACAACCTCGACTATATTAAACAACACCATTTCATTTTGATTGACCTCCAACTGAATAAGCTTGACTGTCTTTGATAATTTTGTAAACACCTCTATTTTACTATAGACTACTACACGTAAAAAAAATTACCCATAAATGCGATTGTACATCTTCAGAAAATGGTATCATCGAAAATTTTATTTGCTGAAACTTCATTCTTCTTACATGTGTTTGTTGCAATAAACTTAGATTATAAAAACGCGTGTTGTAACTGGTTTCCTTTGATTTCATGTTTATCTAGCCAACAAACGAACGCTTTGAATCGTACTATGCGTGGTAAATCAGGCGAATTACACAAAATAAGCTGAAATTCGTATAACCAGAATATTTTTAAAAATACTGCTACGCAAATACGTAACGCAAAACAAAAAAGACGGACATGTATGATAGAAAATGTTAGTAGCATTTCATCATGCTCTTTTTAAGATTCAAAACTTCGCAAAATATATTACCTACCTGATTATCTGGCTGACGCCAACCTACGATACGATAAGCGTCTAAACCTTTTTGTTGTAAAATTTGAACCCATGAAAGTGAGCGTGTCCCACCACTTGGTAGCCATATTCGGTCTTCAGTGTTAAAATGCAAAACATACGCTTGAGCTGAGGCCACTGGTGATTCTCTACAGTAAAATGATAAAGAACATTTCCACACAAAATAAACCATAAATTTGGAAATAACTTTTTATAAGCCAGGATAGATACCATTGTTGAACTCATAAACATCACGGATAATATCGAATGTTTACAACGTTTGATAAGATTACGAATTATAGATAAATAAACATGCTAACTTCTAATAATAGGGGAACTGGAAATTCCTGATAGATCTCATCCGTAATCATGACAGAAAATAACTGGACATGAGCATCTGTATTGAACTAAGAATCGGAGCAATATATTCAGAAGCGAAATGCTCACTTTTTTACTTTACTTGACAATCGAAACATCCACTAAGTGAACTATGGTACTTAAATCAAGCCTAAAATATGGCCTCGATGCACACACAGGATGTATAGAATATAATGCTTGGAAAAACTTCACATCAGGCGAGAAACGGAGATGCTTCGTTGTTTCAGAGCCTCACTTGACAATCGAATGATTATAATCTTAGATGCATACCAACTAGCGGGGACCCTAGAATACGACTCCACAAATAAGTCAGTTCGTTGAATGAATATGATTAAGTCTACTTGGTATGGAAAGTTCACAAATGAACACAATCAAACCAATGATAGCGAATTCAGTGAAACCAGAATTTTACTTACTTTAACTCCCTGACTGAAGACATCAGATATGCATTTATATTTCTGTACGCTGATATATGGAGACTGATGACTTCAAAGAAATGAGGCTGTAGTCAGAGGAGCCAAAAGCGTGGCAATCCCTCTTTATTTCTGCTTAATTTTATGACGGAATGTTCCCCTTAATTATCCCTTGTTCGTTTTTATTTCCGCTCCTTCAGTTCTTTGGGTAAAAGTTTTAAATTTCAAGTTATTCTGAAATTGATGACACAGAAAAAGGTATTGAATTAAAAAAGATGGTAAGGAGTACAACAACGAACTAGTAACTGGGAACAAACCGATCAAATTATAGTAAGAAGCAAAATTGAACGGACTATTTACATGTATAAAGTCTGTCAGACGACCTTGAGATGTAAACCTCCCACCATTATACAAGCGGATTTAGATATATTAGTTTCACTTTTTAACATCACATGCAGATATGTACAATGTCAGAATCAGTGACTTCTATTAACAGATCACGGAGTAGTAAATGATTTCAGGGAAATCACTTTTTTATACTTGTTGCAGCTCTGGATCCTAGCATTCCGTGTGAATCGAATAACCTGTAGTGACTCACGTTTATCACGAGAACACGACTGGTTTAATAAAAACAATTATTATTATAACCAACTGTACCAGTGCTTGTTTAATGTGCTTTTGTTTGACTGTGCTAATGACAGCTATTTTGTGCTTCCATTCTTTTACACACACTTTGATTGTGACTTCGCGCGAATTCGGTTACGTTCTGTAACCAAGCTTGTATTCTGGCACGATCTCGGTATCCTTTCGATGCCACGAGATCGCCAGCGAATACATCTCGATTTGGTTTATTAACTGTCTTCTGATATTTGGCTTCTCGGGGATTTTATGGATTTATTTGGTTACGTCCAACCTTCGCCTTCTGATTAACTTGGCACGTGTTTTTTTGGTAGCGGTGTTCATAGTCAATTTCGACTCGACGCCACGCTACAAACCAGTCTGAAATCTTCTACGTAGATGATTCACAGTGTTAGTCTTTTAAATGCAGATAAGGATACAGATAATGTTTTGTATCAAAGAATTGAAGACCATCAACCATAGTCTATGTATGTTGCAAGCAAGTGTCCTACTACTGAGTAGTTTAGCTTGTAGTGCCTGTGAAATGTCACCCAGCAGTTGGATCACTGAATATCTAACAGTTTACCTACATTCGTCAGAGTAATTAACAATCAACGTGCATTATTTAATTGCACATCCTATACTGACCCATGAAACTGTGGTCACAATATACTTCTTGCACCAACTCATACTAATATATTACTGCAATGACGTGTAGCGGTGAATAAATCCCCAAAATAAATAGTTCCGTAAGTTTTCGACATTTGATGCTGACTGCATTAGTTTCGATGGACTCACTTAGCTGAAGGCACTCGATCAAGGAACAAGTGCTGATGGACTGGAAAGAAAGACACCTCGTCAAGATTCCAAAGAAAGATCTGAACAAATGTGGGAACTACAGAGGCATCACACTACTGTCAATACCAGGGAAGGTCTTCAACAGAGTGTTGCTGAACCGGATGAAAGGTGCAGTAGACGCCCAACTTCGAGAGCAACAAGCCGGATTCCGTAATGATCGGTTGTACACAGACCAAATTGCGACACTACGGATCATCGTCGAACAATCAGTTGAGCGGAACTCGTCAACTTCATTGATTATGAAAAAGCATTCGACACTGTGGATAGGAGGACGTTATGGAAACTTCTTCGACACTACGGAGTTCCTCAGAAGATTGTCAACATTATCCGGAACTCATACGACGGACTACAATGCAAAGTAGTGCATGGAGGACAGCTGACAGATGCATTACAAGTAAGGACCGGAGTCAGACAAGGCTGTTTACTCTCTCCCTTCCTCTTTCTTCTGGTGGTCGACTGGATTATGAGGACCTCAACATCTGAAGGAAAACACGGAATATGTAGTGGCATTGGACCATAACCACACAATCTTCAAAGCTGAACACAAGACTACTCAAAAAATAGATATTCAATATTTAACACGGAGAAATACCTAACAATGGAGAAGGCGCGAACAATGAATTGAATGGACTGGAGTTGATCGAGTGGCATGGCTCGGCCATGCAGGCGTGGTCTCTGCTGAATGTTACCTTATATCTTCTATTCATATTAAATATATTGTTCTTTCTCTAGCCTAAGCTTGTTCTCCATCATGTATTGGTAATTGTTACGATACAGTGAGTTGGCGTAGTCGATGGTGTGACTTCCACGTAAGATCTTATAGACTAGACAGTTATATCATGACAAATCTACAACTTTAGGATTAGGTCTATTATTAGAGCAGCACTAATGTTATAGTAGACCATAGTTCTACAAATACAATGGACAGCTCAGAATCAATTAGACGATTTGAACTTCGCATACGACCTAGCCCTCCTATTGCATACACACGAACAGATGCAGATGAAGACAGCCAGTGTAGCAGCAGTCTCTGCATCAGTAGGCCTCAGCATACACAAAGGGAAAACCAAGGTCCTCAAATTCAAGGCGGAGAACAGCAATCCAATCACTCTTGATGGCGAAACTCTGGAAGATGTAGAGTCCTTCACATACCTGGGAAGTATCATCGATGAACAAGGAGGTTCAGATGCAGACGTAAAGGCGAGGATCGGCAAAGCAAGGGTCGCATTCCTACAATTGAAGAACATATGGAACTCAAAAGTACTTTCAACCAATATGAAAGTGAGAATCCTCAACATCAACGTCAAGGCAGTTCTACAGTACGGAGATGAAACTTGGAGAACTACAACAACCACAATCAAGAAAGTACAAGTACTTATAAATAGCTGCCTACGCAAGATACTCAACATCCACTGGCCGGATACCATCAGCAATAGCCTTCTGTGGGAGAGAACAAACCAACTTCCAGCTGAAGAAGAAATTAGGAAAAGACGATGGAAGCGGATAGGACATACAATACGCAAATCGTCAAACTGCATCACGAGGCAAGCCCTAACTTTGAATCCTGAAGGGAGGCGTAAAAGAGGAAGGCCTAAGAATACACTACGTCGGATAACAGAAGCAGATATGAAAATGATGAATGACAACTGGAAGGAGCTGGAAAGGATTGCCTAGGACAGTGTTGGATGGAGAGCGGCCTATGCTCCTTCACGAGGAGTAACAGGCGTAAGTAAGTAAGTAAGTACTCGATCAAGCATCCGTACCAGTTCACGGGTGGGTACGTCGTGCTACATATCCCTTTTAACTATTAGCGCAACATTCCTTCGAAATATATATAGCCTTACAAATATATCTTCGAACTCGTTCATTCCAAGCTTCTTATTTCAGTGGATTGGCACGTCTTGTTTACAAAAGGTGTTACCAGTTAGTGTGTTGTCAAGCTCCGAATACTTGTGTCATCTTTAGTGGTAAGCCCGATATGATCCGGTACACCTATTCGTAAACTATGGGTACGTTCTTTTTGGAACTTTATATATCAATTTCTAACTTTAATTTTTACATATCGCTATTATTTGGATACAAATTTTTGGATATTTTCTCCTCGTTCACTGGTGTACTTTATATTCTTCATGACGGAAAAAATCCCAAATTATGTAAGATTAGATCTCTTACGTTAACCTCATTTCAGCTAGTGCCATACTTGCCCGAAAACTTCGCCGCATGGTTTTGCTACAGAGAAGCTGATTTTCACGGGCATGGAGTTTCACACCCACGTGCACAATTCCTTGCAGTAGTGAAGGCATTGGCACACGAAGTCAACAGGTATGCTTCACCCGAAATGTTTATTGGGGATGTTTCAGAACCTGAAGAAACTTTGACAAAGGCTATTCGTCAAGTGATCGATCTACATAGGCATCCAACATCACTGAGTTGCAATATAACTTTGCAAAAGACATGTCAGTGGTCAATAGACCTTTGATGAGGGCCGGTTTAGACTACTCTCCTTGTCTAAGCTTCCCTGTTAGGAGCGGAAAGTGTTGGTATCATTTCAAAATAACACTGTGGACGAACTGGCTACATCTGCCGACCGGACTCCTGAGATGAACAGAGCTTCCAGAACCAAGGTCTGTTCAATCAAATAAAAACTTCAAACGACAAGAAATGACGTCACAGAACTGTCATAATCTAACACATTATCTTGCTGCCTGAAGGAGTACTTCACGAAAATGATCTGACTCTAGATCACAAGGGACAAATAGCCCTGGTTAGCGCTGGTACCATTATAAGTATGAAAAATCTCCTCTAAACAGCAGAAAATCCTGCAATGTCTAGGGCCCTAAATTCTGCTGGTCCATGGACACTGGTGTAGACGTCAGCAATGTTCCAGCAAACTCGAACGACTAACTGCATGAAGCAGTTTACAAATTACATGTGGCAAATCAGAAACCGATCGCCACATATAGTAAGCGGTGTGTTTATCTTAACTTTGGTCTGCTCAAACCCGTCCACCAGACCTTTATTGTTGCAGATATTTCTATGCCAACCATTGGTACAGACCTGTTACAACACCATAATCTGCTCATCGACACGAAGTTAGTAGATGGCAATACTGAATTATTTGTTTGTGTAACTTCATTTTCCGGTTGTAGATCATCCCCAGTCACAGTAAGACAAACAATCGATCCATAATGCCAACAGTTACCCGATAAGTACCCCAAGCAATACCAAACGCAACCAAAATTGCCATGGGTAGCCAGCAATATTGCAAATCAAATCACGGCAACAGGACCACCTGTATTCTCGAAGGCGCTCCGAATAGCGTACGAAAATCCGAGGTTGGCTGAAAATGAATTCAATCACATGATAGATTTAGAGATCATTCGGCCACCAAACAGCCCATTGTAATCCCTCTTGCGCACGATCTCCAAAGAGGACAGAGATGATTGGCGTCTAACTGATGACAATCGGCGACTAAATGCAAATCCATTCCTGATCGTCACCCGTCGCCCCACATTCACGATTTGACAGCGGCCTTGAAAGGTACAGCTGTTTTTTGGGAATCGGCTTGGTTGAGGCTCATTACCGAATTCCCATGTCTCCTGACAATAATCCTGAATCCGCTATCATCACTCCGTTTAGACCCCACGAATTCTTGCGCTTGTCTTCCGGCTCAAGAAATGCTGAGCAAACATTCTAGAAATTAATCGATGGCGTTTCCAGAGGTCTCAACGTCAAAAATGTGTATGTTGATGACTGCCTGGTCTCAAGTCCAGACAGAGAATCCGATCTCCAGCATCTGGACCTTGCCTTCGAATGGCTGCAAAAAACAAGGCATTACTGTAAACATCCAAAAATGTCAAAGTGTCACAGACTCCTTAGATTTTCTCGGACATATTTTTATTGCTTATGGCATCTGACCTCTAAAATCCAAAAGGTGGGCCAGCTTTG